TGATTTCTTTACACAAAGAAACTGCATGAGAGCGATGTTAATGCAATTTTGTAGTAACTTTCTTTTATTAAACTTTATTTTTCCATGGAGTTTTCCGTGTATTTTCGGTCATTTCGAGTAAGTTAGAGAGTCCCAAGCCGTTTCGCTTAATATAATGCGTTTCTAATCACAAGTTACATATATCAATATTGTAGAGTGACTGATAACAGACATCATCACCAGTTTACTCCTTTACACATTTGATATCAGTCATATGACACTATTACACTGATAAATTCCAATAAACAGCAGTATTATTGACCCATGTTTTGCTATGTAATACGTGGGGCAAGAAACATACCACATAATCTCTGGCTGAATATAGGATCCATCATGTGAGGTCCTGGAAGTAGGATTACATCAGATATTTATAAAGTAATTGACGAGGTATTTTTTTTTTGTGATAATTAAGTATTTACTTTTAATTTTATGTATAGAAATTGCATGCATAGCCTGTTTAAAAACCAAGCATAGTTTTTTTTTATTTGGATATCCCTGAAGATCACTAGTACTCCATTTTCGTGACAAATAATTTTCTCAAGATATATATTGATTCTTTATAAGCGAAACTAAATTTTCAAGAATTGTGGTTATTGGTCAATATTATCTTAATCTTAAAGAGATGAAAATTCAATAACGTGGGAATAAAAAAAAATTGTGAATAAAAAATAATTAACAGTACTTGTAATCATAAAAAAAAAATGACTACCAGTTCCTAATAAGTTCACCGATAAGCAAATCTCATTTTTCTAGTCAACCAAATGCAGATATTTTTGGTATTAACATGTATATCATAGCAGGGTAAACAGAAAGGCCGTCATGGCTGAATTAACCAGTTATTCTAAATTTAAATAAATTAAATAACGATTGTTAACAAGCCCTATCCATTGTCCCAGATTCTGTTCCTTTCTTCGTGTTACGGATTTTTTCCTTATCATAAAACTACAAGACTGGATCACCCTTATTTATGCCCTGAATATTTAATCAATGTATCATAATTTCACTTATAAATATCATGGGAATATCACCAATCTTCGTATATTGATAATATGTGTTTTATAAGTGATCGTTTATGTTTACTTGTTGATTATCGTTTGATTATATATGGTACAAACCCGAATTTCCTCCATAGATCAACACCCTCGGAATAACAAATGGCCGTCTGACATTGTTATTCTACTATGTTTCCCAAATCTAATTCGGCATCGTTTCCAAAACAAATTCTAAACAACAACCTACTCAATTTCCCGCCATTATCATGCCTAAAGCCTTTACTTATACACATAGTGCAAAAATTGAACTCCACAGTCATCGTGCCAAAGCAAACGGTACCGTTTGTTATTCGCTCGAAAAGTTATTCGCACTGATATACTAGAAGATATATAAACACGGGTTTTGAACGAACAAGAGAGTTGTGTCTACAGCTTCCTCCTGACTAGACCGCAAATTGTGACTGCTAATCAGCCCCAGCGCATCGTAAATATGCCGAACAGTTGTATTTAATATTTTGTTAACTTGTACTATAATTGGGTAAGAATATAATGCCTCCCATATTGGGTAAAACGATCTATGGTTAACCCAATCTGTTGATTACTTATTAAGTAATATTAAGTAAAATACTTATTTTTATGTATAGCAATCATCAGTTTGATATCTGACAGGTCCCTCATATGCATATTATAATTAATTGATGAGATACTCAAGTAAAAGTTAATGAAGCAAAACTTGTGCAAACTCTCATGCGTGAAAAGAATAAAACACTTATTGTGGCCTTCAACTCGACATTTAGTCTTATCGACCACGTATTGTCAATTAACAATGATAATTTCTATTCTTAGGTCAATATAGTATATCATGGTGAGCTTGAGATAAAAGATACCACAGAGTCAGACACACCTGTTTCATACTTGGATATCTTACTTGAAATATGAATGGTAATTTAACAGCCAAGCTATAACCGTTCACGGTAGCTCAGTCGGTATAGCACTCGCTCCGTGATCTGGAGGTCGTGAGCTCGTATCTCGGCCGCAACTGACCCAGTCGATAAAATGGGTAGCAACTGTTCCTTCGCCTTGCGCTTGCTGAGTGCCAAGTATAGGTCTAAATATGAAGCCCTTCACTGGCAAATGGTGACGTCTCCATATGAGTGAAAAATTCTCGAAAGGGATGTTAAACAATATACAATCAATCAATCAACAACCAAGCTATATGAAAAAAATGATTACGCGGGTATGTTAAGGAAGCATATAAGTCATTTTTCGGGAAATTCAGACTTTTTAAAGGAAAAACAGTGTGATAATTTACCAAAACTGCTGATAAGCGTAAACTATTATTATTTATTGCATAAAGATAAAAGAATGTCTAACGCAACGACGTGCAACACCACCACGGCATCACGTGACTTCTATTAATAGCGAAATTTTCCTTAATAAAAAAGTGAACAGAACAACAATACCTCGAAGTTTAATAATTTCTTTGAGTAAATAATGAAGTAAAAAAACATCTATTTTGCATAAAAAGTGCTGCTAGAATCCCACTGTCCCGTCAGTAAAATAATTATTCCACACATTCGCACGAAACCTTACCCGATGTTTTGAATTTTTTACCTATGATTCAAGATTTTTCGTAAAACCATGCTTAACTCGGGATTCTAGCAGCACTTTCCAATTATTTTAGGATGTAAACTTTCCATCAGTACCAATTTTATGTTTTGAAATATACAGCTTATTGTTGTTCTGTTGCATTATTTTTGTCACAATCGACAGAGGAAAGGCCGACCGGGATAGTACACAGCTGACTGCCTTTGAAAGAGAATGTAATCGATGAATATGAATTAGCATACCTGTTTTATTAACTGAACTCCATATGAATTTCACAAAATATTCACGATATTCGCTTTTAAACTCCATTTTACGTATCTTTATTCATGCCGTCATAGCCAAATTCTCTTTACACGATATGATCAATTCCCGATCAATTCTCAAGTTACTTGATGTATACGTATGACGTCATCATTGGTAGATTTTAATCAAAATGACAGAGTACATCATAACAAAATAGGAACATTTTATTTTTGTTAATGTTTACACGTATCTATTCATTTTGTACAGTTAAATTACATCTGTAATTACCAATTTTACAAAAAACTTGTGTTCTAAAATTGACGTCATCACGCCGACTATGACGTCATAATGTAGCACTGATTTGGTCAAGGTAAAATATTTTGTATGCTTCCTTATTCCCCCTGTACTTTAAATTCTTTCTATCGTCAACTTACCTTACTTATGCATCAATATACTTTCATCACCTGCATACGGAGTATATACATGTATATCTCAGTTGATTCGATAAGCAAGAGTATGATCTACGCATGAACAAATTGTAAAACGAGGTAAATTATTGACAAGCAAGTTGATGATACAAGACTATCAGCAGTCTTGTTTATAGTAATCACATCGTAAGTTCTATGGTCGATACAATGTCCTTGTCAGCAGATACAATTTATCATAGAATTAAATAATGTCTGACGTTTTTCATACTTATTGTTAGTCCATAATTTATACACTGATTTGTCGACGGTTTTTTCCGTTATTTCCCGATAATAATAATGCTCAATCCTCCATGGCACGTAATCCCACCTCTGATATTTCGGCCGTCTGTGTCTGCTCTGCTCCTTTTTTGTATTGTTATAGGAATTTGATATGGAATATTGTTCGTTATTTCCATATCACTCTAACAATTAGTACCTGTCATACGGGAACAATGCCCTTGCACTGAATGCCACGACGTCCTCGACGTCCGACGCCAATCCAAAGCATCTTAAGCGTCCACAATGCTGACTAAACACAGAAAACCACGTTTTCCCCCACACAGCCTCGGCCTTGCATACCACGCCCTCGTGTAGTCGCCTATGTTGCCACCACCGACAGCACCACACCATCGTGTATCCACACTTACGTACATGTGTCTATAGGGACCTTCAAAACATATATGCATAGACATACATGTATATAACAGCTTGACCCCAAACAGGCTGCCTTACAACACGTCATAAATGTTTACACATATAATTGTTCAATCATACAGTTTTAACTAATGTGTATCACAAAGTTTCGTACGGCAAAGCAAAGTAATGTACTATATAACGTTACACTCTGAGTAATAAAGTTATATCATTACTTTACGCTTAAACTCACGGCATGTGCACGTGATTAAAATTCCCGTATACAATTCAAACACGTTTTCTAGTGGATAAACATAGAATAAGCTCAATTAAAAATTACGCTGTATTACTTGTCAATATAATAAATGTAGTAAATTGCACTTACCCTGATTGGACCTATCTAACCCTCCATCGACATGTGAAACTACTTTCACTGGTCAAGGAAAAGGTGCGCTACCCAAGACAAACCTGACATCACCTTATATAGCGACTGGCCGAATATTTAAATCACTTGAGCGTCACAATGGGGCTCCTTGTAGGATAAAACTAAACACACATGAATATACTAAAAAAAAGAAATACACATACTTATAACAAAATCAACGTTGATTGTGACAATTCTTTAAAAATAATTTTTGTATCGTTAAAACGAAAATAAAGATATTAGGTTTTTAAACAGAAACTCATTAATAATAAATGTCACTTTTCACTGTCAATGCTACCTGTTTAATTTATGTTAATATATTTTTTCTGTCATGTTTCTAACCCATTGCTACGGCGTTGTTTTTTTTTGTTTTTTTAAGTCTTGAACAGATTACTCTATACAGATAGCTCGAGGATGGTTGGACTGCCCGACAGGGGAAGCTATAAATTTACTAGGATTCCTTGTTCTTGCTTTGTATCATTTAAGGATCAACGAGATAAATCTATATTCGTTGAGAAATTTTTTACTTTTCAAATCATGAACATACATATATTTAACTACTTTCATTTTTTTCTATTTCTTTCAGGCGATTGTGATCATCTAAATCATGGGTTCAGGATCAAGCGCCCAGTGTAAAGCCCGGCAGTGCTCTCAGTGTCAGGGGGACACAGAATTCTACTGTAACACGTGTAAACATGACCTGTGTCTACAGTGTAAAGAGATATATGTCATTGATCAAGATACAATTTTCCATGATGTTGTGATTTACCGGGAGAAATATAAATATATCCCAAACCAAGAGACTTGTTTGAGCCATCCAAACAGAATGTATAATAAATATTGTTGTTCATGCAGACTTCCCTTGTGTTCTAAATGTGAAACACACAAACGTCATGAAATACTGGACATTAGAAAAGCTTATACAACAAACCGTGAACAACATAGACACATCATTCACAGAATCAGAAGTGAGATTTTATATAAGAATAAGTTTCTCCTGGCAGATATCAAAACTGATTTAAAAGCTATTAAAACAGAAATCCTCAAACTTAAATTAAAGATTTCGACAAAAGCCCAGAGACTTATAGATCTCACTGTAACTGAGAGGATTGCAGTGAATGTCATGATTAATAAATTACAACAACAGAAGAGAAAAAGGAACAGACAACTTGCCAGCATAGAAAACCTTGATCACAGATATGAACATTCAACAAACAGAACTTTAAAATTCCTCTATTTCATTAAAAACATGAATGTCCCAAAGATAAAAGACACTTGTAATTTTACGCCACTCTCTTTGCTCTCCATGACAGAGGAAATCGAAATCAACATGGGAGATTTGGTTGAGTTTCTGAGTAAAATTCAAATCATAGAGAGAGGACAGAGACGAGTAAGAGATATGCTGGAACTGATGTCTACCCCTGTGATAGTCAGAAATGTTCAACTGAAAATCCCTGGTCATGTAATGCACATTTCTCGTCTTACTTCGGAATGGTTCTGGATCAGTCATTGGCACAACCACATGACAGAAATAATCTTGACAAACATAAAAGGGGACATTTTGCATCGGCTGGTAAGAATAGCAAATTTAAAACGGAATACTTTATATGGATCACACACAGTAAACAGTAAAGGTGAATTAATCTACATAGGCTCTAATGATTTAATTTACAAAGTCGCTACAGATAATAGAATGAAGTCTATACTGTTAAAAGGAACAAACTTGTGGAAGCCATTGTGTGTTCATTCGTCCCCCATCAATGGCGAACTACTGGTCGGGATGTTCAGTTACGTTGAAAAGACAGGCAAGGTAAATCGTTATAATGACATAAGACAACACATACAAACAATACAGCACGACAACAAGGGTCAGCAACTGTACAGTCTCCCATTATACATCACAGAGAACCGCAATGGAGATGTCATTGTGTCTGACTATGACCGTAGTGCTGTAGTGGTGACAGATGGTGAAGGAAGACATCGCTTCTCCTATACTGGACCTCCATTAAAACCACGACTAAATCCACGGGGAATCTGTACAGACACAATGTCACACATCCTGGTGTGTGATTTGTACACCGACACAGTACAGATAATTGACAGGGACGGTCATTTCCTATCTCAAATACCGACACAAGGGCGAGGAATATACACACCACATGGCCTAAGTTTTGATAACAAAACTCATCTCCTCAGGGTTGGAACATGGGACAACACAGTGTGTCTATATCGATATTTAAATTGAAAAAGCTTTGAGACGGGTAATTGTAGTTCATAATTAAATATAAGTAAACATCCTTAATTGTCATCTATTTTAATGGAAAATGTAAATAACTAGAAAATCTTTGACCATGTTTATTGTTGTTTGATAATAACTTCTGATTCATTCACACAATGGTACATGTTGAGCTTACATGTACCTATTGCAAAAAAGGTTAAATCAGTAAAAGTGCTTTTGAGTGAAAAACTCCTAACACTGACATGCTTAAAACTAATAAATGTTACATATCACTTTTTTTTAGATGCATGTACATTTCTATTGAGTAATGCACTCCATTTAATTGCAGATACTGGAGTAGCTGGCAAGTACCAATAAATCCAATCCGAGGAAAATGTGTTTGAACGTATGCAGAGCTTGTCCGTGTCGAAATTCACCCTGAGCACTGAAAATGAATTACCTATAAAACAATACTAGTTCTGATCTTATGATCTTTCTCTTTTAATTAAATGTCATACCATGACTTGACCAGTTTGACAGCAATGTCAAATGCTGAAATTATGACTAAATATTTTTCTTATCTGTACATATTAATTAATATTTTATGCAAATAAACTCCGAAACAGGTTCACCAGAGTTCTACATGCAAGATGATGACGGTAAACTATACTGTAAAATCACAAATTTTCGTGGTTTAAATATATGCTCTTGGTTTGTGGGAATTTGAATTCATGGATGAAGAATTATTGAGTAGATATGTTTGTAACATTTTACATTTCGTGTTGACATGAATTCGTGGGTCTTTCCATTCCTCGAAAACCACGATAATTAACCCCCACAAAAAATTTGTGGTTTCACAGTATGTATATTTCATTTGGAAAGAAAAATCGTACATAAAATTCAAAGTCTCCCTAACAAAAAAAAAATACTACAGTTAACTATAGTTTACTATAGTACCAAAGTTATAACTTTGGAACTTTGATTTACTATGGTGAAAACTTTGGAACTTTGATTTACTATGGTGAAAACTTTGGAACTTTGATTTACTATGGTGAAAACTTTGGAACTTTGATTTACTATTGTGAAAACCTTGGAACTTTGAATTACTATTGTGAAAACTTTGGAACTTTGAAACACTATTGTGAAAGCTTTGGAACTTTGATTTACTATGGTGAAAACTTTGGAACTTTGATTTACTATTGTGAAAACTATGGAACTTTGATTTACTATAGAGAAAACTTTGGAACTTTGATTAAGGTAGGATTCTTCTCTGGTTTCTGACTAGATGAAACATACAAAGTAAATTTGCTTATTTGTCTTATATATTTAGGTGTAAGGAATTTAAAAGACCATATTTTTCTTTCCTCATCAGAAATGTACAACTTTAAATAGAAATGGTAAACTGTATTTGAAAACTAGCAGGGACTATATTTTTGGCGGAATGGTGGCGTATGAAAATATCTTCTTTTCTGCCTCTCAAAATTATAATAAAACAATGAATTTAGCTATCATTTTTACACAATCGAAGACTTGGAGAAATTTCCAAATGTAATTAAATTAATAATGAGGGACTGAACCTCCAAAATATATCAAACTATTATGATTTTTCGAACAAACTAGAACTTTGTTAGCTTTTAAACGCTTCCTATCAAAGTGCAGATTTGAGCCAAAAATCCATAAAAAGTATTTTTTCTCTCTTAGTAAACGATCAAAACTTTTTGTTTTTGTATCATTTTGTACATTTATAAGACTACTTTATTATATATGAAAATAAGAAAAAGTTAAATAGAGGAAGCATATGAAAATAATTAATATATCCCAACACTCTCTACCATCGGCTCATAAATTCACCTCTGTCGTTGGCTCACGTATATCATAGTGTTAACACGAGAAATAGTGCATTTGTTTTAATTGATTATGATTCAATTTCTATGCTTATATCTGAGTTTTAAGATAGATATTTACTAAATCAATGCAGAACTACTAATTAAAATTGAAACAATCTTGCAAATATCACGTTTTATATGTTACGTCAAAAATCTTGACGTGAGCCCATTGCAGAGGTGTCTGAGAGAGGAACGAACGACAACTCTGTATGGGAGATTGATATCCCAAAAAATAAAGAAAAACAGAGAAAATTCGGATTAGACAATATCCAGTTAAGTAAAATTATTTATGTAAATTTGGTAATATCATGCGATAGACCCCATATAGTAATATGTTTTTATGCAAAAAGAACAACCATTAAACTTTTGAAATAGAAGTAGGTATCACATGATTGGCAACAGTATTTTTTTCTTCTTAATGTCAAGGAAAAAGATAATGATCTTGACCTGACCTTGCCTCTAATATAAAACGGTCAAATTTAATTTCACTGATACTATCACTGACTGATATTGTCTTCTTGATTCTGTGAAAATTTCTTTAATTTTTAAATATTAGAAATATGAGAAGAATCCTACCTTAAGCACTATAAACCCATGGGATTATGGTTTTGCTTCCGATTCTGTACATTTTATAAATTTCTAGGTCAAGTTTCATTAAAGCTTCAGGATTTTTTTTTCAAAAACCCGAATCGTCCCCCAAATAGAACGAAGTACAAGAAATGGTTTTAATGTAAACATTGTCTCTTGCACCGATAAATAAGCAGTATTTATTTAAATCTATTTAATTTTAATTTGTGAAAAAAAAAACTTGATTTTTTATTTATGGAGAAAAAAAATAATTAAAATATACAAGTTGTTCAAGAAATTACCAAAAAAAAACATTGGAACTTTGCATTACTTACGTAAAAACTTTGGAACTTTGAATAACTACGGTATAAACTTTGGAACTTTGATTTACTATACTTTAAACATAAGAACTTCGATTTATTATGGCGAAAACTTTGGAACTTTGATTAACTATGGTGAAAACGTTGGAACTTTGATTCACTATGGGGAATACACTATAGTAAACTATAGTTAAAATAAGTTTACTGTAGTATATTTTTTGTGAGGGCTACTTCAATTTTCTGAGAACAGCGATGATATGGCATTAAAGTGAGCATGGCGTCGTTTCCGGTCGGTGGATCTAAGTTACTGGCAAATTTTGATGAAATAGACAACACACAACCGGTTAGTTATTACATAAAATGTCATCACTGAATTATTAAATCGAAACTTGATTGAAATGATATCAAGGAAATAATTTACGTAACTTATTAAAAAGCGAAAAGTGCAAATTATTTTTGTAAATTACCGATTTCAATATTGACGGAAGCTTCTAGAACATATTGAAATGTTTAGAGTGATCTTTCTTTTGCTAAAAAAAATAATTAAAATATACAAGTTGTTCAAGAAATTAAAAAAAAACATTGGAACTTCGCATTACTATGGTAAAAACTTTGGAATTTTGTTTAACTATACGAAAAACTTTGGAACTCTGAATTACTATGGTATAAACTTTGGAACTTTGATTTACTATGGTTAAAACTTTGCTACAAATGTATATTCATTGCATTTTTTATGTAAATGATTTCTTAGCTGTATTCATGTATTAACGCATTGTTTTTTTAGTACACATACAATAGTTACCCATTGCTATTTGTATTTAATTTACAACAGAAATTAAATACCGGTAGATTGTAGTTGTAAATTGCAGATTTTACTGACAGACGTAAAGATGGAGGAAACCTGGTCCCCACCCACCCACTTTTTGTGAAATCTTGATAAATAAAAAGAATTCTTTAATTGACGTGTATGTGAAACATCATACAATGTTATGAATATTGCACATCAGACTTTCTTATTTCATTTTCATGAACGATAAAGCAGCGATTATACACTACTTTAGGGAGGGTGGGGGTTGAGGTAAAAAATTCATATACATCAATATATCATGGCTGTTCTCAGAAAATTGAAGTAGCCCTAACAAAAAAACTATAGTAAACTATAGTTAAATATAGTTAACTATAGTTCACTATAGTAAATCAAAGTTCCAAAGTTTTCCCCATAGTAAATCAAAGTTCCAAAGTTTTTACTATAGTTAATCAAAGTTCCAAAGTTTTTAGTATAGTTAATCAAAGTTCCAAAGTTTTTACTATAGTAAATTAAAGTTCCAAAGTTTTCGCCATAGTAAATCAAAGTAAATGCTCTCTGAATAAGCTTGTATCTGATTAAATCATTTCTTTGTAAGAGACGTAATCTCAAGGCACAAGTTTAGATAAAAGGATAATTTATAGAATTTTTTTCTCATAAGGACGGACAAATGAAATACTAGTATACTTGGAAAATATTATTGATATTTCAATAAATAACAAATATTGACAAATAACACCCAGTAAAGGTTTACAGGTGAAAACGAATTTCAGAATATCTTACCTTGATGCTAAAAGTGTAATATAAACTTAAGAAAAATATATGCTAAGCCAGGCGAATTTGATGAGGGATAACAAAATGTAAAAAAAAAAAAAAATCAGCAATATCACGTGATTCTTACCAATATGCTTTATCTAATAAAATTTACGAAAGACAACCTAGAAATTCAAATTAAGATTAAAATTATTGCTACACATTTTTCTTTGGTAAGAAGAAACCAACTTAAGAAGAAAAGCAGTCCTTATTAAAAACGACAAAACCTATTACGTTTCAGAAAGTAGCAGAGCATCAGATAACGATGCAATTTTGTGGTTTACTCAGGAAAAATCCTGAATAAACTTAATAAATAGGCTATAGAAGTAATCAAAGAAATGTGTCACAATTGAGAAGTGAATGTGTGTAAAGCTAGAAGTACAGTGAACAATGAGCTCAGTAAATGATACGCTTGCCTCACATCTGAACATAATAGTAGTGTCCCTCTTTTGTTGTGGGAAACCCAAATATGTGTCGGGTCGAAAAATAAATTAGGATGTTACTATACCAATATATAATAAAGATTCTGTGAAGGTTTCATTCAATTTCCTTCAGTGGTATGGGAGGAGTTGCGGATGAGAGATGGGTACCCCAAAGCGTAACAGACGGACGGACTGAGATTAATGGCTTTTGTTTATCTCACAGATAACTCGAGACTTTAAACCAACTAGACCGAGTGTATCTATTTTAGAGTTACTTTTTCTGAAAGGAGAGAGAATGGAGAAAACCTAACATTTTAGTTTGTTTAACAAATTGACAAGATGACCAGTCTCTACATGTATATATTGAAAGTGACTTTTTTTCCGAACTGATTATTTTCAAAATAAATTGTCTTCGAATTTCTCCTCGATCATGATAAGGGGCACTCAGTTGTGACCTGTCGGCAGGGTGTGCTCTCTCCACTTCATGGCACCTTATCCCAGCCCTAATGCACAGCTCCTGTTTGTATTGTTTGGATGTATTTTCGAGCTTGATAAGCCTTGAATGATTTTGTTGAATCTGTAATTTATTACTAACGGTCGTCTACAGAAATATAATACTTTGGATTGATCAATCTCATAAAATTGATAAATTTAATTTAATTTGATATTTTTCTGTATTTTTTCAGCTACAATCCTTATAAATGATTTATTTTTACTTGTAACACGTCTTTTGGTTGGATAAAAGATTTTATTCATTTTGTATAACATAACCTGCTTACGTCACAATGAGTTACGTCAAAAAAGTATTACTCTGCTTGACATTACTTTTAAAATTTAATCAATGTGAAGCCTTATTCTGCAGAAAAAAATGTCTCATTGTCTGCACTGAAATTAAATTATAAGGAATGAAGCTTATTCAAATTTATATTATACAATATAAGAAAACTTGGGGCAGTTTACGCTTTTTTTATAAACCGCTTTGCGGCTTATGGTCCGTAAACTGCCACAAGTTATGTTGTATCGTATAATATAAGTTGAAATAAGCTTTATTCCTTAGATAATTTATTTTGTCGTGTATGGTATTGTGAGAAACATAAGCAAGACAGCCCAGTAGGAACATGCTTTAAAATTGGTAGGCAGAGAATAAAAAACAATTGACAATCAAGTGCACTGCACAGCGGAGCATCCCCTCTTAAAGAGCTTAATGTAACATGAATAGTGGGCAGCATTCGTCTTAGTTCCGTACTGGAAGCTCACTTACAAAGCAATTCACACAATTCCAATTGCGTTACTTTTATCATATCAAAACTGAGTAACAAGGTGATAATCAAAAAAACATAATACATGTAATCATTAAATCTCTGTATGTAAGAAAATGAAATTAATCAGTAAATAATTCTCTATTAAAGCTCAGGATGGGTTCAGTGGTCTTTTTTTTGGAATTTTTAATGTAATGCACTGCGCCGTTTACTTTTCCTGTATTGAAAAGTGTTTGTGTTGATGTGGTTCAGTTGGGGATGGGTTTGATGTTGTTTCTTTAAAAAGTGCAACGTCCTAGGCTTTATCATATTCATCTTGACTTGCGGCCATTGAGCATTTTTTTTTTTCGTGCAAGCCAATATCTTAATTTTAAATCAATTAAAAGAGAACAAGGAAGAATACATGAATAATTATTTGACTTCAATTTGTCGACACTTTGACACTTTGTGTTGATGGTGATCATTGTGCCTGCATCACTGATTACTCGTATATACTTTTCTTCCTTTCACCTAGGTTCTTTTCTTTAAATTGCTTATGACATGGTTATTTTAAACGTTGTTAGAATAGATTAGAAAATAAGTTAGAAACAGTTCTTTCAAATCTTATACACTCTATTTGAAAAGTAAGGAAAGCAATCATTGTGTGTTTATATTTTGGAATTACGAATTATTAATAAATGCTTATATCTTGTAGTGTAACAATCTTCAGACATTTGAATATTGACAATTTCCTATTTTAAGCTATTCCTTCAAGAGTTAATTACAGTTAAGGATAACAATTCAGTTGTGTGAGTGAGCTTGTTAAATTTGAGTAACAGCGTGCTTGAAATAAATATATAAAACGGTCTAACTTTAATCTTCAGGTCAACTCTATACCTATTGTATTTTGTATTTGTAAATATCTCACTTTGTGTTAAACGTATGAGTCGTTAAGCTGAATAGATTTTAAAACATTTTAAAACTTTATAAACATAACTAACTCAAACAAGTATTATGGACGTTTGTGAAAAGATTTTTATGTTTATGAGTAAACAGAACTAAAATTTTATGCAGACATTTGTTTAACGTCAATAGGTGCCTTTCGATATTCCTGCTTTCATAGATTGTTTCTTGGAATGTATAAATCATCTGTGGGCTGAAAATTCAAAAAACGAATTTTGATTCATTATAACTATATAACATACATTTTTACTACTTAAATTGTTTAATGTCTTTATTTCATTTTGAGATAATACACGGTTGGATCACTGCTACACAAAGTTTTAAAAAATATTACTCGTTGAATTGATAGTAAAGAGTTATCTACCATTAATTACGTGTACCTTTCATTGAAATAACAGTATTATATTTAGTATTGGATAACTCCCTTTTTGAACAATTGTAATAGAAAAAGAACTATAATATGCTGTTCATTTTTTTTTCATTTCATTTTCATTTTTTTTTTCATATTATGAATGCCATCGAGTCAAGTAATGTTAGTATAACATATTTAAAAATCTGAAATATTGCTTTATTTTTAATGTTTTACAATTTTAGGTGGTATGTTTAATGAGAGACAAAAATTGATGTTTAAAACAATCCTTAATCTGATATCTGACAGACCGGTACTATATATTTCTTCATGAGACACTCTAGCAAAAGTTAATGAATATATATATTTTAATAAAGCATGTGTTTATTTTTAGGTGAAAGTATACCATTTATGAAGGTAATAAAAAATCATGGTCATTTCCACCCAAATTCTAAAAAGATATGTAAGGAGCATTATATAGGAGTATTAAGGTGTTTTGTAAAACAAAAAATATTATTGATAAAAATCAAAAAAGACTTCAAAACTTTCATGATTATCATGATTATGTTCCTACAATTTTGTGAGATATTGCTGCTTAAGGGGTCCCGACGCTCTGCTATAAATTTTACCTTTGTTAGATAATTTTAAATTTGTAATATTGATTTTCATAAACAACAATAACATTAGAGCCACATGGAAAATAGTTTGAAATATGAAACGCTGCTTATTTTTTCAGAAATTATTTTAATGTGCAGATCATGATATAAAAAAAAATATTGTTCTTCATGTAAAGTTCCTTTGTGTTCTAAGTGTGAAAAACAAATACACAAACGTCATCAAATACTCGACATTAGAACAGCTTATAAAAAAACGTGAACAATATAGAAACATCGTTCACAGAATCAGAAGTGAGATTCTATGTAAGAACCATTTTCTCCTGGCAGACATCAAAACTGATAGATATAACACAGAAATTCTCAACCTTCAATTAAATTTTTTGACAAAGGTCCAGAGACTAAAAGATCTCATTGTAACTGAGATGTTTGCACTTAATTTCAGATACAAAAGACTCATGATTCATACATTACAACAACGGATGAAAACAATGAAGAAACAACTAGCCAGCATAGAACACTTTGATCACAGATATGACAAGTCAACAAACGGAGCGTTGAAATTCCTTTATTTCCTTAAAAAACATGAATATTTAAAAGATAAAGGACATTTGTAATTTTAAACCACTTGCTTTGATTTCCCTGACTACGGAAATGAACTTGGTGGAGGCGTCTGAGTTTCCGAATAAAATCCAAATAATAGTAAGAAGAGAAAGACAAGTAAGAGATGGATGTCTGTTGGAACTGTTGTCTACACCTGTGTTACATATATCTGTTAAACTGACAATTCCTGGTGATGTAACACACATTTCATGTCTTAATTCGGAACAGGTCTGGATCAATAGTAGTATTAGGCACGATTTTTCTACTCGCTTAATCTTGACAAACAAAGATGGGTACACTCTCGATTTGATGATAAATAAACATTTTTCTATTTGGTATTCCGTTAATGGAGAACACACAGTGAACAATAAAGGGGAATTAATATATATAGTTCATAAAAATGAAATTTACAAACCTTCCACAAATGATAGATCAAGAGCAAGGTATACACTGATAAAAAGAACGGATCCATGGCAGCCCCAATGTGTCTATTCTTCTCCCACCAATGGAGATCTACTGGTCGGGATGTTCATATATGCTGAAGTGACATGCAAGGTAAACCGTTACAATAAGAGAGGGCATATCATACAGACCATACAGCATGATAACACAGGTCAGCAAATGTACAGTTACCCGAGATACATTACAGAGAACTGTAATGGAGATGTAATTGTGTCTGACTTGAGGCAGGTAGTGGTGACAGATGGTAGAGGAGGACACCGCTTCTCCTACACAGGACCTCCATTAGAACCAAGATTTTCACCATGGGGAATCTGTACAGACGCGCTGTCACACATCCTGGTGTGTGATAGGTACACTAACTCAGTTCAGATGATTGATAAGGACGGTAATTTTCTATCAAAGATTCTGACACAAGAGCAAGGAATATTTAGACCACTCAGCCTAGGTTATGACAAAATATCTCATCTCCTCTGGGTGGGTTCAAGGGACAAAAGAGTGTGTGCATATAGATACTTAAAAAAAAAATATTTGAGACAGGTAATTGTAGATCATTATATAGATATATATGGACATATCCTTAATGTTTAATTACCCCAAAGGAAAAAAAGAGTATCTTTAACTTTTTTGTGTTGATTGGTATAAACTTTTGAGGCAATCAATAATTATTCATTTTAATTTTATATGCAATTAAATTCCATTTCAGAAAAGAAAAATAATTAAATTACTGATGTTGAAGAAGCAGTCTATTCCCAATGAATCCATTCCAAAGAAAATGAATGTGAATGTATGAAAACTTTGCAGAGTTTATCCATTTGCATTCCACCCATGGATTTTGAAAAAAAAAAAATGAAAACTTCAGTTCTGCTCTTTCTCTTTTAAATTTTCATACCATGGCTTGACAAGTTCAGCATGTTTAATAGCTATGTCAAATTGAGATATTAATTACATTTTGATCGATATTGTAAAAAAATACAAACCATAGCGTTCAGGTGAAGCAAAAACCTTTAAGTTTCACAGAGAAAAAATTAAGCAGGGGCCATATTGACACCTACTTTTTCGTCTCTGTGAATGATACACTGTTCATTGAAATTCAATTTTATGGGTATTTGAGCTAGATTACACTCATGTTATGCGACTTATTCACTCGGAGAAGGAAAAAAATATATAGATTAAACTGAAACAAATTTGCCTTTCACTGAATAATTGGTGAGAATTGAATATCTTTGAAAAAAAAATTGCCCACATATCACTTTTTTTAATGATGAAATAAAAGGAAACTGCTTTAGTTTTCTTTTTAGCATTTACTTGAAAAGAAAAGCCCGAGAATAGAGGGGAGCTGACTTTTACTAATATTCCTTTATTGAATGGATTCGATGGCAATCTGTTTGGTGTTGGACCAAGAACAAAACTGTTTGCCCGAGGTCGCAATGCCGAAGGCAAACAATTCAGTTCAAGGGTTGACAAAAGACAGTCACTAAATATCTTTTTAAGTCTTTAATTTTATTTTTCACATGGATATACATGTGTATGTATCTTGTACCGTCTCTGTTGAGGTAAACTGAGGTTAAACCTGTCATTGTTGCACAACAAATGAGATTTATCTTCGCCCATTATGTGACATAAGTGGTCGAACATCTCATCGATATGTCAAATATACTACTTAACATTCAAACATCAATTACTAGGTCATTTCAATCACTCAGGTGACCTATCGCTATCCCGCTTGTCTGTCGTCTTCCATTGCCCGTGGATTCTATACATTTTTTCAGATTTTTCTCATAAAGCACTGAAACAATTTCAGTTTTTGTAAATAACAATTATGGATAAAGGCAGACATAAATTGTGAATTTCATGGTCTTTATCCTCCTGAGATCTGAGGGATGTGGTAACGCCCCCCCCCAAAAAAAAATCAACGCCGTCTTTAAAAATCTTCTTCACTACTGTATATTAAGTAGTCAAACTTTTGATATGATTGTATTTGAATTGAACCTATTACTAATTGGGTAGAAATATATAGCAAAATTTTATACTATTATAACACCTGAAAATAGGCGTAATTCATAAAATAAAAATATTACAAAAGAGTTCCATAAAATTAGATAAATCATACATAAAATATTTGTGATAACAGCACATTTTTTTTTTAGAAAGGCCTCTCTATCCATCTTACACCAGTGACCTCATTGCTTTAGAAACTTTCTGGATATTCTTTTCTTTCTGTTCTCTTTCCTTCTTTGAAGTTGTCATGTACAAATTACCTCCAGTCTTCTGTAAAATGGGCATGGGGAGGGGTATTTATCTTGAACCCCCTTTCAATTAAAGAAAAATATTTGCTAGATCTTTAAAGTCTCTTTATAAATTAAGAGGACATATCATTACTGCCTTTTAAACTAAGGGTGTAGAAAACTTTAATCCTGTCAGTCAAACTGAGCATTTTTGAGATAACAATTTCCTTGAAGAAGGTGATGTTCCAAAGATGAGACACAGCGATGTTGACATATATATCCTTCTGGAAGGAAAAGAATGTCTATGTCTGTTTTCTCTTCTTACTGAGGGCCCCTGTGCGTCATCCGGTCATTTCTATCAAGGTTCATTCTTTCTGTTCAAATGAATGTAAAAACATACCATAAATTTTTTGTCATTTTCGTTTTTGATAAACATTCGTTAAAAATAAACATTTAAAAAGCTTTAAACTGGCATAACATTAAAATTTGCTATATATAAAAGAAAAAAATATCAACCTTTAAAAAGTATCATCAACTTTTTTCAAATGTCAATACATTCATATCTTAAGATGCAATATTCCACTTAACAAAGAATTCACACAATATATATGTATTGTCTGGTCTCCTAGTGGATCTGAAATTCTGAGAATCTTCACTTGGAAAATCGTGCATTGGCTGCAATGACCAAATTATTTTGACCAAATGATTTGAAAGGTAGGGTTTAAGATCCTAAACATCGATTTTTATATTACATGTACCTGATATTCAAATGTTATCCTGGAAATTGTTTGAATCATGAGGAATTATTGATGAAGGAAGGGATTCAATATTGTCATCAAGCATTGTTTTTTTCTCAATATACACTTACATGTAGCTATTAATTCTGTTAGAAATTGAAATAATGTTATGCAGACCAGGATTAGCTCCCAACACTTTTCAAAATATATACTATATAAGCAATAAATATTCCAAATTTCAGCTCAAACAAAAAATTCTATGCCCTTGCACTTTTGATGTGAATCACGAATATGCTTATCGTTTTAGCGATATTCTCTAGATTCCTTGTCCCTGTACAGTCCAAATGCTACTTGATAAATTCATTATCTATACAAATTGTACTTAATAAATTATTTTCTTTATGTATTTAAAATAAGGTTTAAAAAAATAGCAATTATATCATATTCATTTGAGCATTCTTGTTATTATTTAACCAGAGAATCTAGTCTTCTGAATCACCTGTGCTGCGTCATTTCAAAGTTGACGACGTCATATTTGACGAAAGACTTTCTTTTATTACTCTTCTGAATTGCTATCGAGTATTACAATTTTACAAGATTTTATTAATAATTGATCAAATAAAAAATTCAAGCTGTTATTTACGCATGATCATGTCGTAAATTAATTTTTGTGGCCTGTTAAATTTCAATGACGTCACAATTTTAAAACTTCCAAAACGATGTACCAGGAATGTGAACTTTGTCCTTTCTTAACATAGCTGAGACATGTTGTTAGTTTACTTATGTGTTATATGCAAAGAGAAGTAACTCTAGTTTATGTATATCTTATCTCCCCATAAGGGAGCTCTTCATTTTATAAAGTTCAGTTTTAGTGGATGATGCTGAATAAAGCATGGTCTAACAATGGTAGCAGAGCGTGGTTGAAAGAAAATTAAGGATACAAGTGCTGAAAACAGTGTAAGCAAGTGTGTGACATATAATTATAACAATTCAGTGTTTGGTGAATGAGAAAAAAGGTTTGACCTTAGCGAACTGAGAAAATGTCAACAAAAATCAACCCCCCATCTTACAACCCCAAAATCAAAAGTTATGAACTATACAAACAAGAACTTTTAGCATGGAAAGAAGTCACAGAGTTAGATGAAAAGAAACAAGGTGTTGCTATTGCCCTGTCTCTTCCTGAAAATGATGAGTCCCAGATACGTGAAAAAGTGTTTGATCAGCTGAAATTGGAGGATCTCAAAAAAGACACAGGTTTGAAAACATTGATTCAATTTTTGGACAAACATTTAGCCAAAGATGACCTGGCAGATAGCTTAGAAAAATTTGAAGATTTTGAAGATTTTAAAAGGTGTGATGGACAGTCTATCAATGAATACATATCCATTTTCGATGCAAAATACAGAAAAATTGAAAAGAAAAATATGAAGCTACCCCCAGAGATTTTAGCATTCAAATTACTCAGAAGATCATTGATAAGCAAAGAAGAAAGAATGATCGTCTTGACAGGAATGAATTTCGAGAACAAACAAACTTTATATGAAGAAGCAAAGAAATCACTTAAAAAATTCAAAGGTGAAACTTGTGAAGGAAATGCACCTACCAAACCAGTATCCATTAAACTTGAACCAACATTCCTTGCAGAAAATGAAGAAGCACTAATAGCAGCGGGATACACTAGAATGAGGAGCAACAAAGTTTATCGGGGAGGGGGAAGGAGTGAGCAGATGAGAGGAAGAGGATTTCAGAGTGGCCAGAGTAGAGACTCTCATCGAGGTCAGTACCGTGGACAATCGCGTGTAGGCAGCTCATCAGACAAAAAGAGTATGAATCCATCAGGACCAGATGGAAATATGTTAACGTGCAAATCTTGTGGGTCATTCAGACATATGGTGGCAACATGTCCTCATAGTTGGGAAAATATGGCTAACGTCAATACATGTTCAGCCGAGGAAGAAGAATTTGTACTGTTTACGGGTTACCAACCAAAGGAAATAGGACATTTGGGGATGGACGCGAGAAACTGTGCAGTCTTAGACAGTGCGTGCAGCAGTACAGTGTGTGGGAGTACCTGGATCAACACATACATTGATTCATTGGATGATTTGGACAAGAACAAAATTAGAAAAACTGAGGGCAGAAGAGTTTTCAAGTTTGGAGGAGGAACTCGTCTGAAATCTGAAGGAGAATTTGCAATTCCAGCTCGTATAGCAGGGAAAGATGTGACAATAACAACTGATGTTGTTAATTCTGACATTCCATTGTTATTATCACGAACAGCTATGAAAACTGCAGGCGTAAAGATGAACATAGAAGATGACACAGCAGAAATTCTAGGGAAAACAATGAACCTTAATGTGACCTCTTCTGGACACTATTGTATCCCTATAGATAAAGCAGAAATGATACCCGTTGAGGAAGTTTGCTCGGTTCGAATTGATGAAGTGGACCCAAAAAAGAGATACTCAACTCTCTTGAAACTGCACCGACAATTTGCCCACCCACCGAAGAAACGACTTGTATCACTTTTGCAAGATACGGGTGCATGGCGAGATAGCTTTGAAGAGGACGTTGAAAAAATAGAGCAGAGATGTAAAGTGTGCAAGACGTATGCCCGAACCCCATCTCGGCCTGTCGTTTCATTTCCAATGGCATCTCAATTTAATGAGAAGGTTGCTATGGATCTGAAGTACTGGAGAGGAAAATGGATACTACACATGATTGACATGTGGTCTAGATACACTGTGTCAGTTTTTATTCAGAGGAAAAAGACAACTGATGTTATTGAGAAAATCATGTCTCATTGGATTGGTATATTTGGTGTCATG